CCCCACAGCCCCACCCCCCACCCCACACCGACGCCACCCCAACGCCCCTCAACCGCAGGTCAACTTCGCAAAGGGCACGCAGACCCTGGTCTGCGGCGGCGCTGACCTGGAGCTGCTGCAGTTCCACTTCCACACGCCTTCTGAGCACGCATTTGATGGGGAGCGCACGGCCATGGAGGTCCACCTGGTGCACCGCAACATGGCAACGGGTGAGGGCCCATGGGGCGGCGTGCAGCTTCTTCGGGAAACGGGGTGGGCGGGGGTGGTGGCGTGCTTGCGGTGACGCCCCTGTGTAATTTTGTGGTGTCTGTGTGCTGCTGCGTGCGTCTGTGTGCCTGTGTGTCTGAGTTTGTGCTTCTGATGTTGCAAACGTGTCTGTGTGTCCGTGTGTTATCTGAGTTGCCTGTGTGTCTGTCTGTGTGTGTCTGTGCGTCTGGTGTGAAACGAGGACAGCTGCACATAGACATGATGAACACAGCGGAGAGGAAGCCGGTGTTGGCGGGGCCTGGCTTGCATGTTGTGTGTCGGCTGCATATCCCTGGGACATCACGTGATCATGGGAGGCCCAGGCTGTGACCTGGGTTGCGCGCAGCGAATAATGTGCAGAACAGCAACGGGCGCGGCCAGCCGCAAGCTGGCATTCGCGCAGGGGCGGGGGGAGAGGGGGGTCGCAGGTTGCGGCCTCCATCCACCTTGGACAGCTGCCCAGCGCTGCCTGCGGTGGCCAAATCTTCTCCAAATCTTCTCCAGACGCCAGCAGCCCCCGACGCGCTCCGCATTGCAGCCCGCTACGAACCTGCACGCACACGCGCACGTCCTCTGCCCACGGCCTGCCCGCCCACTCGCCCCCCCAAAACCCCCGACCCGGCCCCACAGGCCAGCTGTCCGTCCTGGGCGTTATGCTCGAGGTCGGCAACACCCCAAACCCGGCGCTGTTTACTGCGCTGAAGTACGCCCCCGCGGAGGCGCGTAAGGAGGCGCAGTGCCCGATCACTATCGACCCGAAGCAGCTGCTGCCGCGGGGGCAGAACAACTGGCAGTACGTGCGGTACACCGGGTCGCTGACCACCCCGGGGTGCTCGGAGGGCGTGGAGTGGTACGTGATGCTGCAGCCCACCACAGTGACGCCCGAGCAGGTGGGCACGAGGGGCGGCTATCGGCTGCCTTGGGGCGGGGCGAATTTATGAAGGGCATCGGGCAGGCAGAGTTTCCTTGATGCGCCTGGATGGCGAGCGGCGCTCGACAAGGAGTTGGCACGCAGTTTGTCAGCAAAAGCAACAGAGGGGCTCGCAGCAGCCGTATCTTCTCCGTGTGCTGCAAGGCGTGTTCACGAATCAGGTCGGCGGGGCCGCTCGGCCCCTCAATAACATAGTCCACGCACCTGTCACCGGGTCCTTCAAACGGCGACCCGGGCCGCGCCCCCGCAGGTCCTGGGTTTCGCGACATACGCCAGCGGCGGCAAGTCCCTCGCGCAGAACTCGCGGCCGCTGCAGCCCCTGAACGGCCGCGCCTTCGACCTGCAGTACGACTGCAGCTTCGGGGCGTGATGACCTGGCGGATGGGCCCAAAAACCGCCCGGCCGGGCACGTGGTCGCGCAGGGCCGCGCCAGGGCTCGGGCGGCCCGCGCGCAGGGGGCGACTAGACAATGCAGATTGCGTTGCCGCCGGCGGGGCCTGGCGGAGACGACTAAATGGCGGCGGCACCTTGTGCCGCCTGGCGGGCTTGTGCCGCCGAGAACGAGCGGCTGGCACGGGCGAACGAGAGAACGCCGCAAGAGCGGCCCCCATCGCCCGACACCCTTTATGGGCGGATGGCAGCAATTTCTTTACTATGACACCGCGCCTGCCTGCTCTGCCGTTTTAGGAGGGTAGGCAGGCTGCGTCGCGTGCGGCAACGGCAGCCGGCGAGGGCCGGGGGGAGGAGGAGGGGGCTTTAGAGGGACGAGGGGACGCGCCACGTGTGCACAGGCATCCACCTTTGCAGCATGTGTGCGTGGGCGCGGCCCCTCCCACGATGCAGCACACCTGGGGCCCGGCCGCGCCGTTCCGCACGGCCATGCGCGCGCGGCAGTTGCTGGTGCCCGACAGCGGTAGCAGTTGGTTTGCCCGGACGCGGCAAATCGTTTGGAGCTTCCTCGTGCAGCATGCGCGCACATGACATGCGCTGAGGGGTGCGCTCTGGGCCTTGCTGCTGCCGGTCTCCGGGCGCAGCGCGCCTGTCGAGCGCAGGCTGCGCACGCTGCACTTTCAGAATTCTGATGGCACGCTGCCGCGCCTCACTGCAATCTCTGTTTCTCGTTCCATCTGGAAGCATGCTTGAAAACCGACGGTGCCAGCCGCAAGCGACGCTGCTCTGGGTGGCCGGTTGGTGCCCCTTCAACAGAGCAGTGGAGCTTTGCGGCAGTGCCATTTTGGCTCCCATTCATCCTGTATGTGCGGGCTTTTCGCACTCGTGAAAACGCAGCTGCTGTAAACGATACGCATTTGCATCAGCACATCTGGGTACATGCGTGTTTGACAGGGGCTAAAAGGTGGCAAAGAGGCCCGCTGGGACGCATGCACAAGCAATGCATGGGGGCCACCTGATGAGTGGCCAGCCTCCCTTTGATGTGTTACAATTTCCAGGCAGCACCCTTTCACAGACATTACATTGTGCACCTCGCACCTCCAACCTTGCATTGAAACCCGTGCTACCTGACAGGTGCATGGGCCTGCTTGCCCACTTGTGTGGGCTGGCAAAATTGTGCAGCGCCAACATCAACACAATCAGCAACAAAGCCGCCCCCACCCCGCCCATGTGCAGCGCCAGTCGCGTTGAACACTGTTTCAACACTTGCACGCCACCGACACAGTGATGCCGCCTTGAGTCAGCATCACATGGCTCACGACACGCACACCAGGTATAAAATGAATCATCCTCCCTCGGCACTCTGAAGACCGTGCACGAGGCCGCACGGCTCTATGGCACACACTGCCTCGGAGCTATGTCCCACGCTGCGTCAAGTGGTGGCCCACGGACCTGCGCATGATGGCGAGCGTGAGTATGTGCGCACACGCAGCAGAGCGCATGTGTGTGTGTGTGTGTGTGTGTGTGTGTGTGTGTGTGTGTGTGTGTGTGTGTGTGTGTGTGTGTGTGCGTGAGTGTGCACGAGTGCGTGTGAGGGCATGCAAGAGGGAGGGGTATGCTGTGTGTGAGCGTGCTTGTCCGTGCATGCATATGTGTGCGTGGGGCAGTCACCGGGCGCAAGCCAACTTGCGTGTGTGAGTGTTAGAGGGTTTGGTTGTTCACGCGCGCGTGTGCACGGAGCAGTGTGCTGCACGGGTGCAGGTGCGGACTGCCAGGAGCTGCAGCCCATGCAGGCAGCGCCAGGGACAACGAGAGCCCCGAAAAACTGTGCACCAGCGAGAGCAAGCACAGTTTGCGCTCGCTCGGGCCCGGCACCCGACTTCTGCGCGTTTCGCAACACGGCGCACCAGCGCTACAGATGCCCGAGCCCCTCCGCAACGGCCCACCTGTTGACGCCCTCTACGGCGTCTGTGCCGCCTGTCTTCTCCTGCTTCATCAGATCAGAGTTTGACACCTTCATGTCCTCTGGCTGCGTGGGTTTTGAGGGGGGTACAAGAGGTTGCCAAAGAGGTTCCCTGAGCAGCCCAGTACTGTGCATCATCCCGCTCCCGTTTGAGTGCTTGCAAGGGGGCTGCACCATTTTTAAGCAGGGCCTAGAGGAGCCGGTTGTGGTTGGATCACAGGCATCGAGGGGGGCCACGTGCGATGAGGGCTGCCAGAGCCTGCATCGACACAGCAAACTGCCTGGTGAATTTGCACGCCGTCCAAAGTGCTGCGCTTCCACCATCAGCATGATGCGGTCACGACACAGGATATTTGCACTTGCCAACGGAACTCACCTTGCTGCTGCCAGCGGGCCCCATCCACTCCTTGATGTGCTCCTGCTCCCCATGGGTGCGCAGGTTGGGCTGGGGGAAGTCGCTGCTCGTGCCAGCAAGGGCATAGGATTGGGGCAGAAGCAATGTGTCGCGTGGTGGGGAGACTGAAGGCTGCGGTGACTACCAAGTATCATGCGATATGCAAATCTCTTCGCAGGCTGCAATCAACATTGGGGTGCTTGGGTTGCAGTTGCCAACAATGACAATGCCGAGGTGGCGCCCCCTGGCTTGGCACGTGCGGGATTGCGCCATGCTCTCGCACCTCTTCGGGTCCAGAGCCGCCCTGATCAGATCATCAGCCATGATGATGGATGCGCTTTGGCTGACACTGGCCTTTCGCGAACGCAGATGGCGGTCGGTGCGGATGTGATCTCAAGGGGGACCCCGAATTGCGTAGTTTGGGGTGCTGATGAGTAAAATTGTTGGGTGGTATACCATGTATCTTGTCGAAGTAGAGTCAGGGTGGAGTCCCCCGACGAGTATGTGCCTGACTGCTGACTCGAATGTGCACCACCCCTGATGACATCATCGACTCGGCGCACATATCTGGGCTCAGTGCAGCAGGTCTGCTTAGTTTGAAGTGGTGGCATAATTGGTCCAGCCTCCACATGCGTATCAGGGCGCTGCGGGGCGGCTCAACGTATGTGCAGCTCAAGGGCGCAGTGCGGTGTGGTGCATCTGGCCCTAGACAGAGATGCCCAGGGCGTGTGCCGGAGCCATCCGCAAGCCAGATAGATAGATAGATAGATAAGTTACTCATACCATAGCATCACTGCCATCGGCCTCGCGCTCATCAGAGCGGACCTCCTCATTCCTAACCTTCCAAGCCATCGGGAACAAGGCCTTCCTGACGCAACAAGATTGACCGTTCCTGCAGCTGCCATTGACTCACGCTCAGTCGCAGCTCTACGTGCGGTCAGCGCGAGCGCTCTCGGCTTGCGGGCCTCTGCAGCTTCACCTGCTCACACTGTACTGCTGGCAAGTGCGTGCGGGCTTACGGGAGCCAACCCACTGCGTCGCTTCGACTGGATTAAGAGCACAGTAGCCCAAGTGTCGCCCTGTGTCAACTGCAGAGCTAAACAACGCCACAGCCGGCGGCACCCGTAAGCGTATGGAACCAAAACATCGGGCGTTGGCGGGGCCCGGAAGGGCGGCAATAATGAATTCATGGGCTCATACCAAGGGCCGCTTGCCGTGTGCCCCTTTATCAACAGCGCAGGCAGCCCAGACTTGCGCCAGCTCAGCCGGGGGTTTGAGTGGCTGCAGAATTTAAGACGGTCAACACGAGGTCCAGGACCTTGGACGGATGACTCTCAAACACCAGCTCACGCCCATGGCACACATTGCTGGTCAATGATTTGTCAACGCAGCGGAGCAATGCACGTCATCTGCACTGGCGGCATGTCCCCGTTGCTGCACGGGACCCATGCTGGTTGGCAAGCAAGCATCATGGCTGTCTTGCAGGGCACAGGGACTTACAAGGGGAGGGACAGCAGCACGTATGAGCAGCGCGCGCCCGCGCACAGCCCGCAAGCGCTCACACCGGCAGGCCAAAGCCTCCATCCACGTGTAGCTAGAGGGTTTAGCGTTTAGCGGTGCACGTAGAAGCAGGGCGTCAAAACGGCAGCACGTGTACAAGAGAGCTCTGCGTGACCACCTGCGCCCCCGCCCGCGGCGCCGCCACCCGCACCGACGGCAGCGGCAGCTCCCCGGCCGCGTGCGCGACGAGCTGCCACGCCACGCGCGCCTCGCCGCGCGGCGGGAGCGCGAGGGTCTGCGCCTTGTCGCCGCTGAAGACGAAGCCGCGCGCGTCCTGCACCGTGAGGGCCACCTCCTGCGGCTGCCCTGAGAAGTTTTTGAGCTGCAGGGGTGAGCAGGCATGCCCGGGGGTTTGAGCGTGAGCAGGGCGATGACAGGGTTGTTGGTCGGGGAGCAGGCGAGCCTGGGCTCGTGAGCGGCGGCGATACACGGTGCTTTGAGCCGTGCAGGCAAGCATGCGGCCGCGCACTCCAGCGCCGTGCAAACCGTCCTGCCTCGTGCGGGCCCTCTGCAGACACCGCAGGACAGCCGCCCGCCCGCACGCCCCGGCCCCGGCAAAGGAAAGCCTATTATGAGGGGCGCACCTGCATCTGGAATGGGAACGCGATGCCCGCCGTCACGGCGGGCGGGCTCACGACGCGCGCACTGAGCACGCTCTCGAGCACTGTCACCCGCGGCAACTCCAGCGCTGTCGCC